CAAACGGTTCTGAATCCCCCACTTTGCCTACAAAAACTGGTTGCCACATGTGACGAAATATCCCCGGATATTCAGATTAGTAGACGTGTCACCTCGAAAGTTTGGAGGGTCCTCTTGTCAAGCCTCACAATGACTGGGAAATAAGACACTACCTAGTGGTTCGTTAAGCAAGGTTTGTGCTGGACGGGATTTTGAAACGCCAAGGACAAGATAAAGTTAATGTGATAAAAGTAAAGTGATTACTACTGAAGTGACGAATCAGAACTTGTAACGAATACGAAAAAAGAAACCAAAACAATTATCAAATAGGTTACTCTGAAACAAATACTAGCTAATCGGACATGAGAGAGAGCTATGACAAATCTAATGCATAAAGAGAGAGCTGGAGCTATGAGTTTTGAGATTAAGCGCCTAAATTCTAAAAACAGAGAATAAATACCTAAGCATGACAAATCAATTATATGTTTACCGACATCATGGTATTTCACACAATGCATTAGAATTTCAACACTATCGCATGTAACAACTTACCCTTGCATTGGAGTTAAAATCCTATGAGAGAGGAACTAATACGCCAGTCGGGATCAGCAACTTAACTGACTGCTACCAGCACTGTAACGCCCGTTTCACAGTTGGTCATGTTTGATCTTAGCGGTTTAATGGCAAATAGTAGGAAATTTCCAGCCCACTATATTACACCGTAACACAAGAGCCTAACAATATCTTCACTCCGTATGTTAAATGTTTACCGTACAACAACACACTGACCTTTCCACCAATACCTCAAGCAATGCCTCCATTCAAAACACCCCTGCCACTAAATCACAATACCATACCAGTAACCCGGCAGCATGAGAGACAGTCAGAACACAAAATATAATTCAACCAGTACCACCAATCAATACCACCAGCGCTACCCTTAAAAAAGCCAGTAACAGCCTCTACACTGAAACCATTTACTCATATCACACATCAGAACTGCTCAACTGCTGGCTTCCTCCACTACCAAATACAGACAAATCTGAACTATCCCTTCACAGATCAACAAGATGGGCAATTTTTTACTGGTCACTGCTTGCCCTTAAACTGTTATTACAACAAAATCAACAATAACATCATTTGGAGAGACCCAGCTGTGACCGCGCATTGGTTTTAGCCTTGGCTGGGCCAGAGATGCCAGTAAAAATTGGATTTCTTGCCTCTAATGCTCAAAATTTGACCACTGTTTTTGTTTCCTCATTGATGACAGTTTTCTGCACATGAAGTTGGGCTAGCTCTGCTGTATGTATGGATCTTATATTCACCCAAGCAGGCCATGGACAGCCTCAAAATAAAATAGCTATTGATGGGAACCCAAGTAATTCATTTTTGTCCCATGCTGTGTGGTGATATTACCAATCCAATCATTTCTTGAATGTGATTCCAGATACATGAGAAAAAAGTGAGGATGTTACGTTTAATGCAACTGTTTCCAGCGCATTACCTCATCTTCATACACTAGATGAGGTAATACATACATCTTCATACACTAGATACACTAGATGATTTGTTCAAGGATTTGATCTTCACATATGGGAAATTGAAGATATTGCCATCTATTTCCAAATATAAAAAATCATTAGATTTCACTAGCAGGATTAATATGTAAACACTTAACTAGCAATAATGAAATGAAACAATGGTGATTTAAAACTTTTGAGGAAATCTTTAAAAAATTATTGTTTAGTGAAAATTAGAGAAAGGCGAAATTGTTTATGCATACCTGATTTGATACCAGAGCAGAAATGTTCTGAGAAGAGTTTGGGTGAGCATTGCAAGCCTCAGCTTTAGTTTCCATCTTGAACGGCACACAGGAGGAGAGTGCAGATGCCGGGCTGAGATGCACAGGTGCACAAGCCTGAGGAGATGTGGAGGACAATGTTGATGTGGCTGGTAGAGATGTGAGCATTTTACAAGATATAGTATATGACTCTTGTGACTTTCTTGAGATAAGTGGAAGACAATGTTGATGTGGATGTAATTATATGTGCATTTTATGAGGAAGAAAATTATTATATTGGAGTCCTCATAGAATTCTCTACAAATTTCTAATTTCACAGCAGCACATGAATCACAAATTACTGGTTAGAAAATGTCTTCTCATATCAATGCTTCATAAGGCACACATTTTACTTGTTTTTTTTTCAAATTCAAATAGATACATAGGCATATGGGTCAATTTCAGAAAGAAAGGTACACTTTTAGCATGTTTTTCTTCAATATTTCTTTATTGAACCTCTTTATTTGTATTGTCCTGATGTTTCATCACTTTAATTAAAAATATGTTTCAATTGACAGGAATGTTCTCCAGTACCTACTATTCTTTGCAATTCTCCACTATATTCTCATCTATTCATTGGCAAACAAGGAAGTAGCACTAAAACAAGAAAATTTGGAAATTTTTGCAGGATTCCTGTCAATTGGGGCCATCACATTTCATCTTAATTTGACTACAGACAAAATGGGACAAAATAATAGATGTGGATTTAGAATAGCAAAGCCAATGCAAGCAATTACGAGTAAAATTTCCTACAACTTTAAACCAATTATTGAATGAAGGTGCTTTATAGGTGCTTTATAGGACAATGAAGGTGCTTTATAGGTACTGGTACTTAATCATTACTGCTCAATATTTAAGACATAATATTGGGTTAAGATTTGCTTCCTGATGCCTAACTTGGAGATTTGATTATATAATAGAAATATGTGATTTTTTCATGAAAATTTATGCCAGAATTTTCAATGCATTTGCATATCAACTCCACCTACCTCATTTTCATTTACAAATGGTTCCTCTTTGATAGATACTTCTTCAGTTTCACCCTCAGGCTCCTCCTTGATGTAGATAGCAGGAACTTCAGGGCCTGGTGGAGGGTCAACCTTTCAGATGACTGGAAAATATATATATTGGTGTACTGGTACCAATTGGTTGATGAGCAAGATATCACTTAATAAATATAATGCACACCAAATTGATGAGGTATGTGAGCAGTATAAAATGGTTTTTGTCACTCAGATGAGTGAGACTTGTGAGGTAATAAATTCACATACATAGTTATCAAATCTTGCATTGAAAATATATTGAATAACAGTTGATTATTATGGCACATGGCATTTTCCTTACCTTCAGTCTTTATTTTGCTGCCACCAAGAGATGCTTGAGTGAGGCTCCGCTCAGGGCATCTGCCACTCCCGACTGCAGCATCGGAGAGCTGGTGCAGCAAAACACTGCATTTTGTGGCAATGGGTGCCATTACTAAATGTGATGTTAGTTATGAATCACTGACGTTGAAGTTTTTAATCTATAATGTTAGCAGTAATTGTAATAACACTGGAGGGATACAGGAAATTGTGAAGTGCAATAGAGGCTCATAAGTAGGCCTTAATTTTAACATAAGCAACAAAATTTACTTGTCACAAGTTAAGTTACCTACCTTAGCACATGATTGATTGCTTTATGCATGCATCAGCAATAATTGATGCTGGCAACTTGGCTAAATTTGAATATGACATATTAATAGAAAGAGAAACCGTCTTGAAATAGATGTGCACAGCATAGACATCAAAGCCACGATTTTCAGAGAGCATTCTCTGTCCAAAACAGTGCTAACAATATTTTTGAATACACATAGCAATGTAAACATTGCTAAATTAAGGTGCTATATTGAAGGTGTATAAATAACTGAGCTCTATTTAATTTTCATCGTCACATTAGTAATTAAAACCAAATCAACTAATCACTAAGCAACATTAATTGGTCATTTTGGAACAGATCTATCCTCTTAAATAATTGACCATAACATATTAATGCCTTTAAGGGGACCGACCTAGCAAACGGAAAACTTCTACAGTTATTATCCGATTGTCATGAAACTTCACATACATACGTAAAATGTAAAAAAAAACATAAATGCCAGGCCTTCCTTTGTGGAGTGACCAGCGCGTTATTTATCCTCGTAGAGTTTTGTTAAGGGACCTAAAACCCACCTCCCTTTGAGGAGCTGTCACAAAGTCATTTTTCGACGCACAGGGACGATACTTATATCGTTCGATGCGCAAGAAAACAATCTTTAAGATGAGATAAGAAACAGAAAAACTCAAAATATTCAAATTTTAGCTAGGTCGGTCCCCTTAATAGTGATAAAAGTTATACTTGCTTATACTTGTATACATTCTTGAACATGCTAACTCTGTGTCATCTGTGTCAGAACTGAGTCAAGACTGCTTTTATAGCAAATTAGTTTAGAAACAATGGAGGATATGCCAAGTCATTGTGATTAATAGTGATTTTTGATTTCTTCAATATTGTAACAATAAATTATTTGATCTTGAACTTTTGCTTTGAATTCCAAATTTTGTTTTCAGCTCAGCTGAAATGAAAGGTGGTGGCATCTGGTGTTCTGCTTGGTGACACAAAATCAGGGGGTGACATGACATGCTGCAGTAAATTATTGCACTATAAAACAATATTTTTTTTAAATATGACATAAAGGTTACTATCTATTTGACAGAGGCTTTGAGTTAATAATTATTTTTTGAATTGCACAACAGGACATGGCTGCTGTTGTCCTTGCTCATCCTGGTACTGGCAACTAGGTGAGGGAGGGAGCACTAGTTCCATACAGAGCACTAGTTCCATCACTGGACCTATCATCCCTCCATCCACATTTAGTTTCATGACCGTCACTGGCTTTCTCACCATCCATAACCAATGTATTGCATTTTGAAAAACCCTTAACATCGGACAAGTCATTGCATGTATAAATGCTTCTAAAAAATAATGAAAGATATATTGCTTTTTCTAGGATAAAATTGGAGATTTGGCAAAATATGTGTGCATGGCTTGACAATTGACTTTGCAAACCAAAATGGCTATTCACAACCTGAAGAAGGCATTCCTGGCATGAAATTCTTGTGCCAGGATAATTCCCAGCATTAAAATATACTTTCCAATTGTATCCGCTCATGCAGCAAATCTGTAGTTTTTGAGTGAGTTTAGAATCTTGTGTGCTTGTTAGCATTAAAAGAGTCCTCCATGAATGAGGACTAAAATAAATCAGTGACATGTAGAATGCAAAATGATAATGTGAGTAGAAGTCAATTGTGACTTACAGTTAGGCAGGTTTTTTAATTTCCTGCTCATAATTACCTGTTGCAGTGAATTTGTTCCTGACAAGGCAGTGAAATCGGTAAGATCTATTAGTGACCAGTAGATTTAGTTTTTCCCCTTGATTAAGGCTTGTGATCCATTTCTGCAAGAGTTTTGATGTTTAAGCACTCTGATTATAACATGGATAATGTGAACAAAGATATTCTGATCATAAGATTAATTGTTACTTGATCATTTTATAGGTATCACAACCAACCGGTATGGAATTTATGCTGCATTACCATCAATCAGGGTAATAAGGGACAATTTTGAGCATTTTTCAATAGTAACTTCTTACCATGAAACAGTTCATAAATGAGTTTAGGCTTATTTTAAAGGTCTTTGCAAGGGCTATAGTAGGCATCTTTTAAAAAATTCCATTTGTTATTTGTAAGGTGCCAGATGCAAAAGTAAAGCATACCAAATTACCCCTGAGAATGGGGTAATTCGGGACACTTGAAACAAAACTTCATTTTAAAATGTTTGAAGCATGCAGAGTGTACTCATTTATTACCAACAGTACTCACAAGTTCTCCTCTTCCTTTGTAGACAATGTAGATGTGTAGAATAAAGGACATTTTTTGTGATTTGTACTTGTTTTTCCTTTATTAATACAGTATTACCATATCCATATATTACCATATTATTGGTGATATTGCCATACCTGTGGACATGCCGTTCAGCATTGACAATAACCTTGTACCCTGCAAGCCTCATAGCAGCAGCCATGTAGCATTTCTGCTGTATCTGTAAGCTTACAGGACTGGGTTTGTAATTTTGCACCATTTTAATTGGGTCAAGTGAACTCACCATACCAAAAAAATTTTTATAGTGAGGATATAGTCATACCTGAAACCAAAAGGAACATTTTAGTAACAACCATCATATTTTTTGGAGAAATAAATCATATTTTAGGTTAATTACATTTCATTCTATGTTGCCCAGTGCACAATTACTGTCAAACGGGGTAATAAGGGATGGTTTTGAGCGTTTTTAGTGCATTTTCTCATTTATGGATAAAAGGCACTACCATCAAATGGGGCAATAAGGGACAGGCAGGGTAAATCGGGATGGGAGTCCCACATTTCGTAGAAATATTGTAGCAGCTAAACTAATAAAAATATTGCAAAACTAAAAATAGTGGTGTAAACTTCAACATTTTTACAACTATGTACATATGGTACATATAAAGCTAGTTAGGAAATCATTTAGTTACTATCTCTAAAAAATCGCTGAAAAAAGTGTGAAAAGCTCAATTTTGTAAAAGTACCTCTACTAAGGTCTGGAACAAAAAAAATATTCGCTGTAGGTATTAAAAAATTTTACTTACATAAAAGTTGCACCCCGTTGTCAGCTCGAAAACGCGATTGAAGGAATTTACCTGTCTTATTCCAAAAAAATGGCAGCCATTTCCATGCGACGGGGTAATAAGTGACACATTTAAAAACACATTTACAATTTACCCTCAGTTAGCAAAGACTCCAGTTAACAAAAAAATTTATTAACAAAGAATTTTGATTACATTTATTTGGCTTAGCGAAAAAATTTCACTCTTCAAAAATTAATCAGTCAGCACAAAATTGCGCACAGAATATCATATATAGAATTGTGCACTGGGAATCATAGAATGAAACGTAATTAACCTGAACTATGATTTATTTCTCCAAAACATATGATGGTTGTTTCTAAAACATTCCTCTCTCTTTCAGGTATGATTTTTATGATATTTTTTATAGTGAATTAACTTAACCCAATTAAAATGGTGTGAAATTACAAGCCGTCCTGTAAGCTTACAGATACAGAAGAAATGCTGTATGGCTGCTGATGTGAAGCTTGCAGTGGACAAGGTCATTGTAAATGCTCAATGGCATGTTTATAGATACAGTAAAATCACATCAATAATACGGTAACGAATGAATATGGTGATATCATATCAATAAAGGATAAACAAGTACAAGTAAAACAGAGGAAGGATAGGATACAGGATAACAAAGGATAAAGGATAAACAAGTAAACACAGAAAATGTCATTATTCTACAATCTACATCTACATCATCTACAATGAAGAAGGAGGACTTCAGTGTACTGTTAGTAATGGATGGGTACACTTTGCATGCTTCAAACATTTCAAAAGTGAGTTTTATTTCAAGTATCCCAGATTACCCCATTTCCAGGGGTAATTCGGGACGGTTTTATTTTGCATCTGGCACCTTATGAATAGCATATGGATTTTTTAAGATGTCATTCGATAGCCCTTGCAATGAGCTATAAAATGAGCCTAAACTTGTATATGAAATGTTTCATGGTAAGAAGTTATTGACAAAAAAACGCTTAAAACCAATACCATTCCTTATTACCCTGTTTAACAGTATTGTGCTTATCATGTCCGTCTGTCTTTCCGTCCATCTGTCCGTGACTTCATGTTATAGTCGACAAGAAAATGTGTGCTGTCACTCACTGCAGGGAGTGCTGAGTTATATTTTTTGTAAATAATTTCTTACTGTGAAACATTTCATAAACGAGTTTGGGCTCATTTCAAAGCTCTTTGCAACGCCTATTATATGGCATCTTTGAAAAAATTCCATATGCTATTCGTAAGGTGCCAGGCACAAATAAAAGCATCCCAAATTACCCCTGGAAACTATGTAATCCAGGACACTTGAAAATACCTAATTTTACAACGTTTGAAGCATGGAAAGTGTAATCATCTATTATTAACAGTACTCTGAAGACCTCTGCTTCCTTTGTAGATGATGTACATGTAGAATAAATGACATTTTCTGAAAAATTTACTTGTTTTTCCTATATAGATATGATATTACCATATCCATACATTACCGAATTATTGATGTGATATTACCGTATCCATGAACATGCCATTGAGCATTTACAACAACTTTGTCCACTGCAAACTTCATATCAGCAGCCATATAGCATTTCTTCTGTATCTGTAAGCTTACAGTACCTACAACTTTTAATTTCGCACTATTTTAATTGGGTCAATTGAATTCGCTATAACCAAAAACAATTTAAAAACACACTTGAAACAGAAAGGAATATTTTAGTGACAACCATCATATTTTTTGGAGAATTAAATCATAGTTTAGGTTAATTACTTTACTTCCATGTTGCCCAGTGCACAATTCTATATAAGACATTCTATGCACAATTTTGTGA